TGCGTATAGCACGGCCAGTCGTTACATCATACAGTATTTCATTGCACTAATTTTCATAATGCTTATTTAAAGTTTACAACACATCGCTTCTCTTCATGTAACGCATAGCATGATGTTCCATACAGTACATTGACCGTGTTAAAATTAGCGCGACTCTGCCAAAGGCCGCAGGGGAAAAAAACAAATTCGGATAATACCAAACGCAGTCAACGCCATTCTCCCCTTCCCACCCTCCCAAACTTTCCAGAAAATGTCCTGCGATCGGGAACTTGTCACAGATAGAGGCTGGATTCTCCGGTGTCAGATTGAAGGGAGACACATGGCTTTGCTGCCGCCAACTCAGAGGCCAACATTTGGGGTTTGATTTTACTGCCGTCTCGGCGAAATGAGCCGAGCTTTTGGCCGCGCGTGTGACCTCAGCCGCCTCCAAATGACATGGCCGGGCACTGATGAGGACACGCAGCAGTCGTTGGGGGAGAGACTCGGTCACTCTTAAACTAAATGTTTTTTTACCAGGTAAGGCCCACTGGACTGTATAGCTTTTTTTCAGAAGCGACTTGGCGGCAAATGATAGTTTAACTAAGTGGCTTATCATGTGGGAATTTATACGAGCAAAATACTCTAAATGCGGAGGTAAAAACCGGAGGACCCGGAGAAAAATCCACGCGACCACGGGGAGAGAGGCATGCAAACTCCAAATATACAAGCGTCAGTGTTGGGATCGAACTCACGATCAACTGTATACCAGGCAAGAGTAGTTAACATCTCGCCACCGTGGAATCCCTTGCTCTCCTGGAAGAGTGTCCATCGACTTTTTATTGGCTGGGCGCAGTGGTGATGATGGGCGTCAGGTTAAAGTGTTCGCTTGTAAACACCGAGCGGTGAGTGGTGCTGTGGTCCCCCGGGCAGTGACGGGATATTCTACATTCATTCCCTTGGCGAAGGGCAGTCTGGCCAGAGGACGCCGCTGCTGTGTTTCCACACTGCGGCACTCATTTTATGAAGAGGTAATGATGTGCTTCGGTGACTGACTTGACGATAGGATTTGAACTAGTCCAATATCTATGAACACCTGTAAAGCATTAATGGTTTGTGTGCGAAAAGCAGCACAGCAGGTAAGTGTGGAACCTGTGTGTGCAATTTCCTTACCTATTATGGGTGAGCTTTCTCTGGACACTGGTTTTCAACCATGCAGACACAGTTGGACAGCACCTGGGAGCACATCCCATAACAGGACACTCCTGAAAGAGTTCTGAGACTCAGTGAGGCTTCTCTGGCGAGATATTATGTTGATGCTCAGCGAGCGAAACAACATCCAATTCCATTCTAATGACACAAGTTCCCGTCTTCCCATCCGTACAGTCGAACAACAGCAACTGCACTGTCTTGTGGGAAGTCAACGATGCTCGTACTATAGATGGACTATTCCCCACCATAAGAGTGTGGAATTTCCACCATTAGCTCAGGGCCAACAGTAGAGATGACCCACCACCCATGTTTTACTTCAGGAGGACAACATTAAACTGTTGCCAATAAACTCGAGCTGGGCTATTCTGTTACCTGAGTAATCGATCACCCTACCGGTCACCGTTTCGAACATTCAGCCGATCGGATAATACGACACGAGTTGGAAAAAAAATATCTCTCGTCTGTTTCCACGTGTGCTGCTGGACGGGAGGTGACCGGCAGGGCTTGATGGCGTCATCATCAGCGCACGTCAGTAAATTGACCGCACGAAAAATGTAGCTAATTTACACATTTTCTTTTTGCCAATTAAATTACTTTTACTAAACTAATTGTCGCAGCTCTTCAGTAAACTCATTGTTAACATCTCGGCTTCCCCTCGTCTGTTTTTGTATTGCTTGGAAAAAAAGTGTTGTTATAAATATAGCAAAATTATGGCTGCGGAGCAAAGTGTTTATACACAGAGTGGTGCCTTCCGCTCTGTAAACACGCGTCTGTATGGCCCTGCCAAAAGTAAAACCTTGTCCACTGTGAGTTAAAATTGTACATTTGTTAAAATGGCACGGCATTAGTGAATAACACTATAGAGAGCAAGGTTAATTCACGACTGTGTGTCGCTCATGGGGCTGATTTGGCCACTCTGGTGGAGGGGTGACGGCGAAACTCCCTTCGAAGGATGTGTTCTGTCCAGGTCCTCTCACCGCCCCGGACAGTCTATGTTATGTCTCTCATTTGCTGTTGCCCGGAGCGGGTGCATCTCACTCCACGCTTTGTTTGCCGTTCTCAGCTTTTGTTCATTTTTCTTTGTCAGTGTCCGTGTCAATAAATAATTCCATTCTCTTAGACGAGCAATAGGCTGGCAGAGCTCATTTCCTGTTTACAGGCCTGAGTCAAGCGGTGGAAATTCCACATTCCTCTGGTGGGGTCCAGACACTTCACAGGATGACGACGCTTGAATCCCACAAGAGTAGTTTGCTGCACTGCATTCGTAATAATGATCGCGACTTGGCACCATTGCACAGTACAAGTTGACGTGTAGAGGTGTATGCCTTGCTGTCATTAACACTACCCAGATGCACCGACGTCCATGATGTGAAGGGGTGAGTAATAACGTGTGAATGTGCCGGGAGTAATAGGTTTGTATTCATAAATACAATCGGATATTTCAATATATATCGCACGGGGTGGGGGGAGACAGCGGAGTTGCCACCTCAGAGGCACACAAAAAACGGGAACCTATTAAGGCAGACAGAAGAATGCAGCAATACCGAAAGAGGGGAGAACTACGTGCAGATGCATCGCCTTGAGTGAGCGGTGCATTGTTGCGCAACTGACAACACACGGGACTTTGATTGCCCTGGGAAGATTTACAGATTTACCCGAACAGCAGCTACCTCGAAACGATAACGATCGTGAGAACCCATGACAGGTGGCTGGACATTCTCAGAAATTACCTCCAGGTTGTTGGCCAATCAGAGGCATGCAGTGCACAATGTGAATACTACAAACTAAACTACGACCAGGTAAGTCCCATTGAGCTATATTGCTATTTTTCAGAAGCGATCTGGCCATCAACGAATTAGCTTGTGTACATTCATAGCAGCCAAATACTCTTAGCGCATGATTCTAAATGTGGAGGGAAAACCGGGAAGACTCGGAGAAAAATCCTGCACGCGACCACAGCGAGAACAAGGAAATTCGATCCCGACAGGCGATCTCCTGTATGCCATGCGGAGTGTATATGCCAATGCGATTGGCTAAGAGAGGCGCCTCGGAGCCTCCCCGTGGATTCAAGCACATGGTCTGAAAACCGATGTGGAAAACACGAGCAGTGCGCACAACACGGTCCAACAGCTGGAGGAACCTCTCCATCTCTTACACGTTAAACATCATTGCAGTCCATCAGTCCATGCGCTGACGGGGCCAATGTTTTCCACCAACATTTAACCAGGCGAGCTATTTAGTCATGTTAATCATCATCAGCCATGATCAATCCACTGTTGGATAAAGGCCTCGCCAAATCGTCACCATCTAGTATGTGATACTACACTCCGTCTAGCACCTACACACTCAGCGGATTTCATTGCTCCGTCTCCATGGTATACGTGCCTTTGATTGTGTTTCGCCCTTTGGCTGCCACTGCGTCATTAGTCTCCACCATCCACCATCATCCCCTCCAGCGATGTCTCTAACTTGCTTATGTACTCCAATCCATGTGTTCATCTTCGTATGTGTCACTATATGACACATTCCAAGCATGCTTCTCTGAACACTTTTCAGATATTTCTTGAGGATTTGTACAAATGTACTGATTTTGGAAAAAATTGGCATCACGGTACAATCAAGGGAGATTTTTGCCAATGACACAAAGCAGCACAGGAGCATGCATTTTGTTTAACAGGTTCCACTGCTGATGAGCCTAAAAGTAACAACCGGCCTCAGGGTTTTGCTGGTGATACAAATGTTGCTGGTAAACATAACTTCAGGAGTCCCATGATAGGCAGATGGAATTAAATGTATTTCTACTTTGTGTCCGGACATTTTCTTGAACTCGGGTGTTTTGCAAAGAAGCTTACAGGTGACCTCAATGAGCATTAACACAAGCCACGATCGCCCTCTCGTGGCGAGCATCTCGAACCGACCCTGAAGTCGCGGGGTGAAGTCCTTGGGTCGTAGGGCCCAAGCCATCAACCCCTTGGGACTGATAAATGGAGGGTCGCTTTGCAGGAAGTCTTTTTGTCTGTGGAGATGTGCGGTTGCCATAGGAACGTGGCGTTTACACCACTGGCTTAGCGTTGTAATTGGAGATTAGCAGTGCTCATTGGCTGTGACAGCATTGCTGGCTTTAAATAACGCATAAATTTACCTAGATTTAGAAGCAGGTGACATCTTGAGACAATTACCTTTGCCTCCCGCCATCCTTCAGTGCTATAAATAGGACAGTACATGTTATCACAGCATGTAGGGTGCTTGCATATCTGTATAGTTGTTTTTACTTCCCCTCTGCAGCACATAACATATTCTACAACAAAAACGATGTGTCAAATATTTGAAGCAGGACCCTCAAAAGTCTTGTGATGCCACGGGGCTTTTTCTTCGTAAATATCACTTTGACATTGTACGCTTGTTTTTTTTACAGAACAATCAACAAGAGCGGATCTCGCACAGTGCGACTGCAGCCATCAATCTCAATGGGCCACTTATACCACTGCCCCCTTCGCTCAAGTTTGTTGTATCTGTATGGTTCTCTATGCACGTCTTAGGTGTGTTTATGTTAAGTCTCTTAAGTCTATGGGTCTCACGTGAATCTATACTTCAGACTTTGGACCACATTGTAAGGCTACTGCCCGACTCGATCATTTTCTGGCACCATTTCATATACACGCCAGGCTCGTGTGGACTCCAGCCAGTGGGCTCACATCAACAAGAGCAAACAGACGAGGTTACCGATCGACTCCATGCCCATACAAAGCGAGACAGACTAATCCAGGAACATTTACACCACCAAAAATGTGAATTGGGGAAAGAAAAAAACATCCGGGGAAAAGTTTTATTTTGCAAAGCTGTACAAACCTCAAAAGAACGCGCGGCGACGCGCATCACAGTGGCTTTCGAAAAATACATGCGCACTCAGAAACCACCACAAGAGACCGATCGAGAGCCTAGGCTCGAGCTCACCCGATAAACCTAAAAAAAACACGCCGCACATAACGCACCACTGTCATAACCGTGTCGGTGCACAAGGAAACGCGAATACGTTGGGATCTTGCGGAAAAAAAGCCACGTGAATACTGTATCCTTGGCACATTTTGCCCGCCCGATATTTAACCACCCAGGCGATACCCATCATTGTCTGGTGTCGAGGATCTAGGAAACCGATCTGGCACCTCTGAACCAGCGATGACAATATTTCCACATTCCTTTGGCCGGGCATCGACACAATGCGGTACTAATGTTTATCCACCCCAGAAGTATTCCGGAGTAAATGCTGGACTCTGGGATTTGAACCATCGACTTGGTGTCCCGTTGACAGCTGGGGTCATGTCCCCTCTATTTCGGGAGAGGACATGACGACGCCAGCATTCTCTGCTTGTTGTGGAGGTTCGCGGTTTAGTTGACCGCTCTCAAGAAAGTGACTTGAACGTAAACGGTACATAAATGTGACTTGTACATAACTTCCAAATGCGAAAATTTGGTTTATGTGTTTATGTCATGACTTGTTTAACGTTCACTGATAGGAAAATAGCATTTAGTAATTAAAACCAACAAAAATGAGTACGCCTATGATGACAGTTAAACCAATTTCTCAATTCTACACCCCTTTACATACCTAAAGCCACCTGCAACTCATTAAAATTGGGAATTATACGCATACATCATAAAATATATTTTTACTGCAGCTTATGTAAATATAACAGGGTATTTTTTTGTGTACATGCTTAAGTGCTGTGTGAACTTGTCCTGGCCACCACGAGGTTGACTCCACCAGACATTAGTACCCATTTGCGATGTCAGCACAAGTACAGTGGACACAAAGGTGGCCAGGTGGAAACGGTGCTGGCCATTACAGCTTATTTTGTGCCATGCCGGCATTAATAGGGAGTCTTGCACTAAGTCTATATAAGTGGCTAAAAGGGTCAAATGACATTGTGTGTAAAAATGTCGGGCCTTTTAGAGAGCACTGAGGAAGCCAAGTACCACTAAATGTTTGGCTTAAGTGAAAAATTAAAAGCACGGGTTATATTTAGTGATCGTACAAAATTGTGCAAAAAAGTGAAAGTGTCTTCCTCCGTAGATGGGTTGAGACGATGCTCATCCTTCGATGCAGTGGCAGCAATTTAATCATCCTGACAGGGATGAGTTAGCTCCCCTCCACCGCGGCCCCCGACCCCAGCACCTACGATGGCAGCAATGGATTAACCCTGACCGGGAAAACAACTTATGTTCGAGAGATCTGCTGCTGAACTAACAGAGTCATGGAATATTACGTCATCAAATCTGACAGCAATACTACAAAGTGCAGTGATCCAGGGGGTTATGACTGTGCACATTTTGACATCCCCTCTGAAGACATCCTGACCATCCCTCATGCTTGCTCCTTCCCTAAATACAGCACACGACAACGGACATACACACGCACGCACGCATTCATCCTGTGCTGCCTTGCGCGTGTAAATAACACGTATAACGCAGTGAGTGAAAGGTAAAGGTGTGCAGCATTGATATTGCTTGATGGCGCCAATTATGGCGCAAGAGCCTCGGCAAGAGGGAGATCTTGAAGAGCCACTGCGGAAGGGGTGTTTGGTTTACTCTTCCACACTGGCCAGACATCTTCGATGAGATTGTGGTTGATGATGTCGATGATGAAAAGTACCACTTTACCCCACCACACGCGACCTGCCGATTGCCTGCGGTGTGCCCATATATACAGAGGTGGGGGGAGGTGGACTTTAAAGCAAATTGGCAGCTTCCGCATTGGGCAGCTCACTTTTCCCCCTGATATACATCAAGGGAGAAAGTGAGCTGGCTCGGTGCAGCTCCCGAAGCACCTGGCATGGAGCAGTGAAACGTCATCCTTGGGATTACACCGATGGGGACATAAAGAGCAGCAGGTGGATTAGAGACCAAACGCAAGCGGGATGGTGACAGTTCTGATTGCCTTTATCCAGCAGTGGATTGATCATAGCCACCGCTATTGGTGATGATTTAACCTAAAAAATAACGTCACTATGCAACGACCGAAGGCTGCATACCATGATCAGTTTGCATTGGCTGCCACTGTCCTCACAATGATCCAACTTGTCGATACCATTTTCCGCTCCAGTTTTTTTTTGAAACAGTCAGTGTTTACAATATATTGACATTATCGTAAAAAGTTACAAACCGGTACATGCCAAGTGAAGATAATCTGATCATACACTGACAAAGGAATATATGGGATGACTGGTATCCACTGTTGGTAAGCTGCTTCCAGCAATGCGTTATTGCCTAACACTACGAACATATGACACAATGATCCTCCATTTAGCCACGTTGATCGCAGGTGCTCTTGGTACAAGTCTACTCAGGATGACATGCACATAAAGGGGGTGGCGTGGCCAGCACCACACCCAGCTACGTCTATCTGATGTTTACACACTGTAATAGGTTGCTATTTCAGGCTGAGTCAACCTAGAGGTGAGGGCCCTGGACAAGTTGCATCACCATGTGCCACCAAAGTTGTGCAACGTGGCCGGGAATCGAACCCAGGTTTTGCTGTAATTGTAGTACCGTGGCGCTACACGATGCACCACGACTCTCCATTCTTGCACAGCTATACACAAACCAACATACACTTACACACAAAGACATACATACAAACATACACACAATGTTTAAGTTGTGCCTGCTTCAACTCAGTGGGGGTGACCGAGGAACAAGAGGCAGTGGAGGGCAGGTGGTGTGAGGGGGGAGAGGATGGGGTTTGGTGCTGAAGGGGTGGTGTGGTAAGGGGGAGAAGATGGTGGAAAGGGTGGAGATGGGGAAAGGGAGGTGGTGAACAACAGGGCATGAGGGGAGGTGGAGGAGAAAATGGAAGGTGAAGGATAAACTAGGAGTAGAGGAGGTGGAGGACGGAGAGGGGTATACAGGGTGTGGAGAGATTAAATACAGACACGTAGAGATGAAGCAAGAGGTGTGAGCCGAGGTGAACAAGAGGGTGGGGGGTGGAATCAGGTCAGAATTCTGAAAGGGTGGAGGTACTGGAGCAGTTGCCCTCAGAGGCCCGCGTCATTGTATGCTGGAGCCTCGGCCTTGAGGATGCTCTGTGGGTTCTCTTCCACGAGCGGCCTCCACTTGACGTCGCCCGTTAGGAGGAGGTCGTCCCCGTTGAGGGTATCCAGGTACTGCATCTGCGGGGATGAGAGGGGACACGCGGTGCCAGTAGCGTGAGGTCAGGGCGAAAAGCCAAGGATCGTCTGTTTCAGTACTGCAGAAAACGTTCTGCAGTCACTTTGCTAAAGTTAGGCCTAATACCTCTTTTCCACTGCACAACTAAGCCGAGCTGGGGCAGTGCTGAGCCAGCTCTAAATGGCTGAGTAGGTGCTAGGTTGCTTTTCCACTGAATAACCTGAGCCATGTTGACAGCACGTCACTGACGTCACACGTAATCAGTATCCATTAGTCCTCCACCGCCATGCCTGGCCCCGTGCCAGATTCAGGGGTACCATGGTGGCAAGATGTTAACTACCTTGCCTGGAGTACAGGAGGTTGTGGGTTCAATCCCGACTGACGCCTGTATATTTGGAGTTTGCATGTTCTTCCCGTGGTCGTGTGGATTTTTCTCCAGGTCCTCGGGTTTTTCCCTCCCCACTTAGAATCAAAATGCATTTTTGAGTATTTGGCTGTTATATATTTCCACGTGATAAGCCATATCATTTGTGGCCAAGTCGCTTTTGAAAAAGGGCTATATATAGTTGATTGGGGCTTGCCTGGTAAAATAAAACATGTTTAGTTTAAGATTAAATGTCTTGTGAGGCCAGTGTAGTTGATTTGGTTCCGGCACTTTGTGGCAAATAGCCAGTGGAAACTCCCACCACCTGTACCATGAAGGCCTCCCCGTGCTGGGTCAGCTGGGACACACCAGTCGAAAAGTGGAAATGGGGTATCGGCATACTTATATACGATTGCATCATTCCATGGTAGTATTGTACATTCTTAGTAATGCCCAACTTAGACTCATGTGAGCGTCGGTGGATAGGTAGGCAGTAGCCATGCTATGACACATCGATACATCAATTAATACAAGGGTGGGTGGCTGGGTGGGTAAGTGGCTGGATGTGTGGGTGGCTGGTTCATTTGTTGGGTAGGTGGATAAGTTTTGGTGGCTGGCTGGCTGTGGTGTGAGTGTTGGGTCGCATGGGTGGCTGTGTGGCTGCGAGTAGCTGGCTGGGTAGTTGGCTGTGCGTGCGTGCGTCACCTGTTTGCGCACGTACTCCACCAGCATGGCCAACAGGCGAGGGTCGTCGCCCTCGCGGTTCAGCAAGTTCCTCCACAGCGCTGCCGCCAGCACCGTGTCGTCCGACAGGATCCCCTGGGGCGAGGCGCGTGCACGCGTCACCGCACACCGATTAGCCGAATCACACTCAGAATCAGAATCTTTATTTAGACCGGAGGAATCCAATGAGCTATTAAGCTCTTTTTTCACAGATGTCCAGTAGGAACGGGTCAGCAAGTTATAACAACAAACAATACAAGTGCAAGAGAGAGAAAAAGGTAAGCTGGACAACGCACGGCACAACCCGGACACACACGTCAGGGGAGCCAGATGGCACAACAGCAAAAACGTATGCAGCAGTAGCGGCACCGACCTCATCGTAGCCAAAGATGGCGGCGTAGAAGTTTTCTGTCATCGTTCTCAAGCACTTCTTGAGCATCACGGGGTCCACCTGTGCCCACACAACATTGAACCAAGGCGATCACCACCGCTTCGCCGTGTGGCCTAAACAACCTTTAAGGGCCCATCTTACACAAAATATGGTGACAATGCACTGGCAGTTTTGCACAAGCATGGAAAACTAAACTCAACACATATGTCAAGATCACTGCTTTTCTTCATAGTAGCAGCAGTGGCAGCGAGAGATTGAAGGAATGGTTGGATACTGCGGCTATACACAACAAGGCGACGCTAATATAAATTGACTTTAAAGAATGTATTTTGTAATGTTCCTTAATCTTCAATTATCCAGCCACAGCACCACCCAGTAAAATGTGGGATGGACACCGAGTAATTAATAACACGTGATTGCCAGCAGCTGGCTTGGGGAATCTGATTACAGGAGCAAGTTACTCCCCGGGGCTCCGTGCGGTACAAATGCCTGGCTCAGCAGCGGGGCAATGCACGCGTTCCACCTACCCCCATGACCTTGCCTCTCTGGTCCACATCCTCCCACATGGAGTAAACGACGAACTTGCACATGTACTTTCCCTCCCGGCCCTCCTGCTTCAAGCGCACCAGGCACATCCTGGCAGAACGCACACGGCAACCACGCACACCCGAGCCCGCATGTTAAGCGCTGTCGGCGAGTGCCTATTAACGCTGGTTACGGCACAAGTGTGGGAGAATGTGGTAGGACCAGCAATGTGCAAGTCATATACATGTACACGTGCAAATATGCACACATACAAAGAGATCCCCTGTATAACCTTAACAGACTATAGGAGCAAGTGCTGTTAGCAAGCACCTATGAAGGCTGACACACAAAGGGGTGGGTGGCCAGCACCATGCCCGGCCGCCTTTGTTTCCCTAGTGGCGATGTTTACACAGGTACTCATTTGAGGCTGAGTCGACCTAGGAGAGGCCCAGGACCAGTTCAGATAATCGTCACTGGTGGTGGCCATGAGAAGGAATTGAACTCGTGTCGCCAGGTTCATAGTGCAGCGTGCTAAACGCGACACACAGAGTATACACACACAAAATGTAAACATTCACATTTATATAAACACATACACTTACACATACATACATACAAAGATCACAGTGTAATCTGTATAGACTATTGAGGCAAGTGATGTTAGTGTGTCAGGGCAAGTGGTGGTAGCGAGTATCTATTAAGAACGTCACGGCTCGCACAGGGGGTGAGACTAGCACCGCACGTGCTGCTGGGTTACAAATTCTGATAACAATGTTTATTCATTGTAAATAAAAGATGAAAGAACATTCATGTATATCCTCTCGGTAATTCTCACCACACATGCAGCTGGGTCACCAAAAACCATGAGTTCAGAGTGTCAGGCAGACTGCACCCTGCAACGAGAGTGGCAGACAGATGTCAAATTTATCGTCCTCTCCCGCTATGCCACCACAGCATAACGTATCTGCATACAACGCAAGAAACATCACTCAGGATATTACCACCTCCATTGTGACTGAGGCCACCACGGGTCCGTCACTAAAGAACCTTTTGGTCGTGAATAGCAAATTTCACACATATTGGACTATGAAAACCTATTGCTTTAATTAATTACCTTAAATAAAAACATTAATAATATATTAAATACATGAAAATTATCATAACACTAAAATTGGTTATAAACATAAAGTAAATAAAAAACAATTTAAGTATTAAATAATACTTTATAAATGAACTTACCTTAAATTATGATACTGTACAATAGCATTATCATCACTTTATCTCATCACTTTCGTTCTCTCGATACAGTCACGTAGAGTTCCAGATGCGATTCGTGGAAAGCAAGTTCGTGAATAATGATGAGAAAGCTCGGGAATAATGAGGGAATTTTGTAAAGGATCTTCTGAAAGGTTCTGTAGTTGTTGCAAAGTTACTGCCATGGTGAGTCTTTGCAGACTCATCATCACTGCCACCAGGCTTTAGGCCTTACCCTGCTCTGGGTTGCCAAACCCTCTGAGTGACACTCCAAAGCCCGCCTCAGTGACAGGCACTCCTCTGCCCTGCAGACCTCCCCTTCCTCGTTATATTTAGTGTTCTCATGCCATGGTTTATTCTGAATTTCCATGTTGCTTACCCTATCCTGCCATGAAATTCCACATGTACCTGTATTCAAAGGCCACCTAATTTTGAGTTTCTTTGTAAAAGTCTGACTGTAGTATAAGCTTTCTCAATAGATGTAAAGGTAGTATTAAAACAGCGGTTCTCATGGCCGGTGAAGTGGCTGGAAGATGGCAGTGCTGGATGTTACCTCCCCATAAGCGTGGGGTTTTCTCCCACACGAAGACAAAACACCCATTAGTGACAGTGGCCTGGCATCCAAATGCAGGACTCTCCTGAAAACAAGTCTTGAGATTGAGTTATGTTTTCCTTGGAAGAAAAAATCCTATTACAATTATAACCAAGGGTAAGCTCTAAAGCCAGACAGTGGTGATGAGACTGTAAGAGTGGGCCTCCAAGCGCACATCAACTGTTTAACAAGGGGAAGACCTCAAGCCAGCTGGTAGTGATAAACAGGGGGGAAAACTTTGGTCTTGTGTGAATGTTAGTGGAAGTAGCATCTAGCTACACTGTCCAACCGTACTCTCAAAGAATTCTTCATAGTCGATCCGCTCAACGCAGCACGTGTACATCCGTAAACCGGCGATCTTTATTTTCTGATAGGAAAAAGAGAAAAATCACCCATTTAATTAGAACTCAAGATCAGCGAAGGTCAAGAGCTCATCATTTCAATGCTGTTGATGCCATCACCCCTTGGTGATCGCTTCCTCCCATCTGTTAGAACCTAGATTTGTATAGTCGACACCGGATATTTACAGTCTGCCCTTAGAGTCTCAAGAACACCATCGTCTCCCCCTTGGTCTCGACCTCTGGGTGCCACGCCAATACCCGTCTCCGTGGCCTGCCCTCCTGCACGCAGCAGACGTGTCCCCACCCATCATCACAACCTCTTCCCCTTCTGGCAAGCCCACCATCCCCTCTGCACTAGTACTCACAAGTCCACAAGATCATATTTAGATTGCTTTGGTTAAGTTCAGATCTCCGAACCATGCAGGAGCAGACATTACCCTGAACTGACCGTTTCTGAACACTACAGTCAACCACTCTACTCTTCAAAAATGGTTTACGTCTTATTATTAATTACGCTTGCTTTTTTACCCAGCATCGCTTCAGAGCCAAAGAGGGCCTGAAAACGGGGGAGGTCTATGCCCAACAGTGGAAGGTTACAGGCTGCCAACAACAACGTAGACACAGGCACGAGGAGGGAGCGGCATGCCACTACTCACCCACTTGCTGTACTTGAGGGGGCCCGTGAATCCCATGGCTTCAATCACCCTGGTGATGGTGCCCAGGCTCTCGGGCTCCTCCCGCACCGCAGAGCTGCTCGTGACCTCCGAGCTGGTCGGCATCTGCTCGGGAACCCAGATTGGTGGCGCAGTGGTTGGCACACTGTGTTACGAACACGACCCGAGTTCGATTCCCAGCCACTGCTAACATTAAGGGTGAGTAGTGTCACAACTTTTGTTCTGGGCCTCTCCTAAGTCCACTGGCAAAGGTGGCTCCCTAGTGCAAGTGCCCGCTAACAACAATCGGCCCAATAGTCTATAAAGGTTATATGGGGAACCTTCCTATTTGTTTTGCGTGTGCATCTGTGTGTTCATGTGTGTATCCAAATATTTCCATATGGGTCCGTGTATATATGTGAAGGCATATGTCCATGTATGTATGAGTGTATGCTCATGCATGCGTGCATGAGCATACATCGGCCAGTGATCTTAGTCAGTCGACCCATAAAACCTGGGTCTGTCTCGTGACCTGCTGCCAGCGAGCGTTCGACACTTCACGTGGCCTTAACGTGCACATAGCCTGGCCCAAGCGTTGTGGTTACATCACCGCCACTTAGTGACGAATGGCGGATGTTTTTGTTGAAGTACAGTAAACCCTCACTATTCGCGAGTTCTGGATTCTTGAATTTCGCATATTTGCGAGTTACTGTATGCATATTAATTCCCTATTTGTGACCCACCGGACTCCAGTATTCGCGAGTGTACGTGCCAGACCAACGACACCAGGGAAGTGCCCGCTTTGAACTCGCTATTGTGGATTTTTACTTTATATGTACTTGCAGTCGACTCGTTTACACATTTTGGTACGAGTCGCCGGTGAGGTCTATTAAAAAGAATGTGAATGTAATCAGGGAAAGTGTGGTGACTAGTGCTACCCAGAGTAGCAAAATTATAACTGCATTGTTATCAAACGCCTGGATCTCCTGAGGAGTCATCCTGAATTACTCACCAACACCTCCAGCGTCGTCAAATCATCATTAAAAGTAATACAACAAAAAAAGCATCGTTCTTTACAATGCATTTTTTATTGTCGTTATTGTTATTAAACATTTAACATTTCCCCCCCCCCTTTGTTCACTCGTACCAGGAACGTAACCCCATTTTCCCCATTTAAACAAGATTTATGCATTCACCAATTCTGCATTCGCGAGGGTCTTCAAGAAGGTAACCCTCGTGGCTAGAGAGGGTTTACTGTACACACGTGTTTGCTCATGTCCATCTCTGGCTTGGTAGCAGAGGTGTAACGCTGAATAAGTCGAGCAGAATTATCCGTTCATGGGCTGAGTAACAATGTTTGGAAGCTGCATGGCATATTGCTTACAGCCAGAAATATTCATGCTGGGCCACCTACAATTCACTGGGTTTAAGAAGGCTATGTTGTATGAGGAACACACAGTTCCATCAATGAGCTCCTCCAGCAGGCAAGGTTGCAGACACTGCAGGTTTTATCGGAATGGATAAAGTGAAAGAAATGGGTGTGGCACGGGCGAGAGGAGATGGGATGATCGGTTATGAGAGGAGTGTGTATGGGTCTATCATGTGAACTCCTGTGAGCAAGGCTTCGACACTTCACGTAGCCTGAACTGCACCTAGCCTGGCACAAGCGCTGTGGCGACATCACAGCCACCTCGTGGCATAGGCGGTTGTAGTGTTGAATGAATCTGGCTTCACCTTGGTGGAGGAGTGTGTGAGTCTCGCAGGAATGGGCCCTGAAGCTGGGACCCACTGTGTGCACTGGTGGCTCCATGCAGGGGAGCCCCTCCAATGCCAGCCCAGCGGCTGGCCACCTCCTGTCCTCTGCACGCACGAGCAGTCAAGCATACGTACAATGATATACAAAGACAAAGATTCCCTGTATCGCCTTAGCAGACTGTTGAGGCACCTATTAAGGCCGGCACGGTGCACGAGGGGTTGGGTGGCCAGCACCACGCCTGTTTCCCTAGCGGCGATGTTTACACACCGCACCAGGTACTAATTTGAGGCCGAGTCGACCTAGGGGAGGCCCAGGACTGGTTCAGATAATTGTCACTGGTGTTGGCCGTGAGCGGGAATCGAACTTGGGGGGCCAGACTCGTAGTGCAGTGTGCTAACTGCTACACTACTGCTCCCCACAACGATCATATACGCATGCATCCACACACCCGCACATAAGTGATCATACTAGGTTACACTAGACGTAACTGTTTGCCTCTCCTGTGCTTCGATGAACTGATACATATTCGGACATCCGAATCGTGCGTGCAGTTTTGTTCAAAATTTTTATCAAAAATGCATACATTTATTTTTCGCTCCAGCAAAATAGTTGTGCAGGGGAAACAATGAGTGAGATGCGGTGGGCTGAAAGCAAGTGCATGCACACGCTGACACGAACAAGTAAATAATACTACTTGTAGTAATAGGTTTATGGATACAAAGAAAAGAAACACCTTCATGACCCACGTAATTAAGAACTGTGGGTCACTGCATGATGTCCTCTTTAGGATTCTTATAATGAATTGTCAATTCCAGAGGCTACAACAGCCAAACTAAAGCAACTTCATCAAATACCTAAGTGGCAGGAGAAACAACCCAACCCATCCTTCAGGGTGTCCTTGTTCTCCCCAGTGCTGATGCTTATGGACCACAACAGATACACATTTTTGAGGTATAATCAGCTGGGAGGAGGTCCAAGACAATTTTACACACCACCCTGTTGTTCTGTAACCGGCCGAAATGGAAACCATGATTTTCAAAATCGCAGCACGAAGCTTAACCACCGTGTCACCACTTCCGACACACGCAAAAACTATGAATGCCCTGCACATGAACAGTTTGAGGGTTTAATGAAATTAAGCTTCAAAGCTAGTCTCACGCACGGATGAGTTCGGAGTGGCATGGGGATGTTGCGCAGACAACCCGTGATCCCATAATCCCTCGCGACACTGGACAGCATTCCCGACTACAATGCGCATTGGCAATTGCTCTACCAACATTTACCGGCCGGCTAATATCGGGTATTGAACCGTCAGCCTCATGTAAACCGTCTCAGGGGTGAGCGCTCATATCACCAGAACACCAGGATACATCTCCTGTTGAGATTCTCCATCAAGCTGGATAGACCATGAAGTACGGTCAAAAAGCCCCTATGTACGTGTACCTGAAGAATTAGCGGCAATTCAGGAAAAAGTGCAACCTCACTCATGAGCATAGAAGAGTATTCATCTCCTCGTTATAGCCAGCGGTGGAAATTCCACATTCTTATGGTGGGGATGGACCAATCTATCGTAAAGTCAGTGTCAGCACGAGGCTACTAAAAACAATCATCTTGCAACCAGCCAAAAGTGATTACGTTAATGGTAAAGTATTTGTTTAAATCAGTGCCTAAGGCACTACTGCAAGCCGAAAAGGCCCCACGTTTGAGATATTGGAGGCATGGCTGTGATGACTGTCGTCTGGAGAAACGTCATTGTAGAGAATGTTAATTGTTGATATCCAATCAAGAGCTTTCGGCGATGTGGAGTGAATGTTAGAGAGGATCCTGGAATGAGACGAGTAAGAGCGAGCGGGTTGTTCAACCGGCGTTCAGTTGTTTAAAGTCGTTCGCCACATGCCCCCCCCCCCCCCTGTGGCGTGTCACCAATTCTCCAGCGTGCATGAGCTATTCGCGGCATCCGTTTAAGTTTCTGATGCCGTTCATGACCGCCATCCCACTGTTGCCGGGGTAGTGTCAAAAGCCCGCTAATACCCACGCTTTGCCCCACCATAAAGGTTCCAAAACATGAATCAAACACACACGCACACATCCGGTACGATACCCAGTGGGTCTTCTCAGACAAATTGCTATCTGGTAAACGTGAGCGACCAAGTGGGCTACGAAAGATTCCCTTTATTTACAAGCAACACCAGGGAGTCTGTCGCAAGGGAGACCTGGGTCTGCAAATGCAAGGCTTAAAACAAATGCTGCATATCGTCATACGCATTAAGCCCGATCTATACACTTCTGGATGAAGGCCTCTCCCACGCCGTCGCTATCCCACGCGGCTCCTGCCCACCGAGCTGATGTCACCACTCCCATCGCAGAGGGCGCGTTCTGCCCCTCGGCTGTCACTCCGTCCTCAGTCTCAACCACGATTTGCTGGCCGTCGTCAGAGTAATGTGGAATTGCCACCACTGGCTCTAGGCCGTCAACAAGGAGACCATTCGCGATCATCAGCAGCCACTGCTGTCATATCTCACGGCTCTACGATGTAGCAATCCACACTAGGCACCAGCACATTGATCTCAATCATAATTAAATGAACATTAATCGCACATGGCCATGTCCGTGCCAATGCGCCAACGCGCGTCTGCATCAAACTACCACGACTACACGTACAATTCTGCGTAGTGCTGCTGCCGTACGTTGACTTATTCACAGTGTGCATTCTTCACTGTGTACTACTGTACATTTCAGTCGTTACCCAACTCAACAGGGCCACTGTTATGAAACCCTAAACACCCCCCACAACCACCTCCTCCTCCACTCAGACACGTCATTACCCAACCAACATCACCTCCCATCGCCACCGTATCACCCATCGCGTGCCGCGTCTCACCGGGGTGGCTCGCCCGAGGCCCCGCACGAGCGAGGGCCCCAGTGCTCGCAGGGACGAGAGCAGCATTGGCGCCTGGCTGCTGATGTTGCTGAGGGTGCCTTCCAAACGGGGCAGGGAGAAACACGTGGTGGTGGTGGCGAGGAAGAGGAAAGGACGCGCAGGGGCGGGGCCTAGGACGGAGTAGGGCGGGGCTACAGATACGTGGGCGGGGCTATAGCGAAGCGGGCGGGGCTATAGCGAAGTGGGCGGGGCTATAGCGAAGTGGGCGGGGCTATATCGAGGTAGGCGGGGCTATAGCGAAGTGGGCGGGGCTATAGCGAAGTAGGCGGGGCTATAGCGAAGTGGGCGGGGCTATAGCGAAGTGGGCGGGGCTATAGCGAAGTGGGCGGGGCTATAGCGAAGTGGGCGGGGCTATAGCGAAGTGGGCGGGGTTGCAACCCAAAGTAGGAGGGCGTCGCTTTTTACGCTGGTTTTGTGTTATCAGAATACTGAATTGATTTAGATTCGGAATATTCCAGAAATGGATTCTCACCAGGGTGAGAACTCCACAAAGGCTAGTACAGAGATTAATTTAATTTGTTTACACGGGTAATGCACATTCGGCCTTCACGTTGAACGTATGAGCGTCGTATTTCATGAGAGTCACCTGACCCATCTTCTATTGAATACATATTTTTTTGTTTTCCTTCTAAGGCCAAGCGCAGTTTATCAACGAACGCGTTGGGCGTAAAAGCGGGGGAGCCTTGCCTGGCTTCGACGCGAACGGGCGAAGATTCTAAATCTGGAGGCGGGGCCTCGGGCGCAGTGGGCGGGGCCTTTGGCAAAATGGGCGGAGCCTTTGAAGAAGCGGGCGGGGCCTCGGCTAAAGTAGGCGGGGCTTGAGGGGCAAGCGAGGCTCCGCCCAACTAGGCTTCTCCGCCACTCATGGCCAACCAATCGCCTGCACACAAACACAGACCACACCCCTCGCCCCCTTTAAACTTCACGACGGCCATCTTTGTAAGGGCGGTGAACCACTCTTGGCCCACTTGACGTTAACCGTCGCCGCTCGATGACGTGATGCATTGACTTTGAATGGGGTTGGGTGGGTGGGGGCAAATTCCCCTCCCTACGTAAGATGGCGTCTGGCTTCGACTGCAGACCGGCTGCGCTCGGTCGAGCCGGGTTTGACCCCCGGCAATGTCAGCGTGACATTGCCATGCCTCGCACACCTGGCAACCCCGTATCGGTGCCCGACCTTATTACAGACCAACCAATTCAGACCTTATTGATCACCCCCGTGCCATTATAAATATCAACGTTTATCCTACAAAGTTCCATCACAAAAGAGCAACACAGATAAAAAAAAAGAAATGTTTTCGCCCGTATTGAAACGGCTGCACGCCGTATGGACCTGAAAACTCAATTTCCCTGTTACTTTTCGATTTAAAGCTTTCGTGACTGCAGGGATTCATCTTCTTGGTTCTTTCGGTAAAGTCACGTAGAAGGGAAGTAATAAAATAATAAAAAAATAAAACATAATAAAACAATAAAACATAATAAAACGTCGTGAGAATTGTTTTATTATGTTTTATTTTTTTATTATTTTATTACTTCCCTTCTACGTGACTTTACCGAAAGAACCAAGAAGATGATTCCCTGTTACTCTTTAGGGGGTAAACCGTATGGGTTGACATGGTATGCAATCAGCGCTTGGTTAAACATTTCATTTAACGAGCAGTTCAAAAACCTTTACTGCAGCCTTGCGCCCCTTTGGTTCACAATCGTAAAAATGTTTTACAATGTTGATAAATATATAAGGGTTTAATGAAAAAAAGTACGTTGAAACTTACGTGCCCGTGCTTAATTTGTGTTTCGTTTACCTTCTAAAATAAATCTATCTGGCCGTGTCTCGCACCCTAAGGTAAAGAAGCACTGCTTTAAACTGAGCACGTTTAACATGTCATTTACAACGTTTCATTGATACAGGACGTGTGCATCTGTGTGCAGATGCACGCACGATGCGCCTTTAATTTTACATTGGTTGTACAGCATTTGACAGAAAAAAATAGTCTCAATGTAAACAAAAATTACGCCAATAAAAAAATATACCTGCTGCTGACGATTTTAAGTTATTATTCTACTGCTTCAGCGTGGGAGGGATATCACCCGCAATGTACTCGATCTTAGAAGCTAAAGCCGGACCTGAGGTAGAGATTGTAATGCTCGGGGTAGGCGATCACCATCCATAACAGGTGTTATAGGCTGTAATGCTTCGGCTTCACCAGCAGAGGGCTGTACATCAAAATAATACAAAATCTGTACTGTACTTATATGCTCCCATACTGCACATCCTCACCAACCCACAGTGCCCCAGTGTTGTGATGTATGGTCAAATAACCCGATCATGACCTGCATGCACACTGTAGCATGGCTCTCATACAGCAGTGGATTGACACAAGGGCTACGACTTACACGTGTTCCGTTTGAGGGAATAAAATTTGTTGTGAAAGTGTCGCTTGATCTAGTTTCAAGCGAAAGGTCTATCTAATTGCATATGTGGTTGTGATCATTGTTAAAGTGCCGGTATGAGCTGAAACAATAATCATCACGATCCATGGGCCAGGCAGCCCCGTAGAGGTGTCCACTGCACATTTCCTCACTTGTTTCCACTTTTTAAATCCTTTATATTAAGTTCACTTGCGCGCTTGCTTGCTTGCTTACGACCGTTCAAATCTTTTGGTCGTTTTTTAACCCACTTCCCGTGATCCAATCGAGCTGACATTTTCCACACAAACTCGTTTTGCGTGACAATTAATGATCGTGAAAATTTTTTTCCAAAATTTTACACTTTTTAGGACAAAAATATTATATTTAATTACCAATTGCTTAATGGTGCCATGCAATCATCTGACCCATAGGTGGCAGCCATCTCAAGCCAGAGGACGAGAGGACTCTAGCCGCCACGCATATAAAGGATTTATAGTGAAGAACTTTGTTTTTACGGGTTATACTTGTCTCTGCCTTGTTTGTAGTGCCAATATGCTCGGGTAGTGCAACATCTTCCTGGCACCAATCTCTTATGTCATCGTCGTCAAGCCATTCTCTGTTAGCTCTTCCTCTCTTTCCGGTTCCTTCCATTTTTCCGAACAACACACTTTTTTAATGTATGTAAAATATGTTTTTATCCCATATCCTCACATCATACATTGCGTTCTGGTCGGCATTACCAGGGGCATCAATGATATCTGGCAAACTGGACTCATCAGAGAGGGGGGTATGGGAGAGCGGAGTTGCCCAGGTCATTGCCGTTCTGGGCTCAGGTTTTTAAGACTGTTCTAAGGTTTAGGAATGGACCCCCCCCCCATGTACCTGTGAATTATTCTTCATTGTCTCTGGGCTTATAGCTCAGATGCTTCAGTGTTGAGATTAGGCCTAATGAATACAGCCATTGAATATGGGAGGGGGGTTAGTGATTCTTCCACGTACTCAATATGGATTTCCTGGCCGCTATTTTGAAAGTCTTTAACAAAGCGTTCTGATCTAGAGTTAGTCCCGCTTCTCTTAGGCCCCACAGGGTAGTTATTACACTTATTTTAACAATGTATTACTAATCTTATTGAATATCCCCATTATATGTCTATAGCACTCAGCAATAGTCGGACATGACCAGAAAGCATGTTCGTAATTGTGTATTACACCCGGGAGGGCTCCGCTGGCAGTCCGGAGATGAGGCTGGACCAAACTTGGCCCTTCTCTGATTGGTCATATCGGCCCCGTGTAGAAATTTGACTGGGATAGTTCTCAGGGGGAGGGATCTGGCTCCTTGAGATGTGGAATTCCAAATCTGGTTCCATGTCTTGTTTGGGATTGACCGATTCGCTATTTGCGCCCATTGTGCTAGGGTCTGAGGTCGTCCACTATTGGTTCCTGAGAGCAGAAGCCAGTATACCTCAGATAGTTTGTATCTCTATTTATCCGACTGGAGCCATTCAATCACTGCAAGAGGGGGTGCTATCAGATCTCTTCCTCTGGCTCTGGTGATCACGTCCCGATTCTGGAGGTATTTATAGAACTGAGAATTTGGGAGGCTCTACCTGGATCTATCATATTGGAATGTGTCAATGTGGCCATTATCTCTGCCAGGAGGTCCCCTACTCTATGAGTCTGGGCCACTTTCCAATCAGACCATCAGATTCTCTTGTTTCCAATGTGGGGAGTAGGAGTGGAGTTCCCTCGGGATCTGGGTAAGTCTGTTTTTGCACATCCACAGGGGAGTATTGACTGTCTCTAGCAGCTTTATGCCCAAGTACTTATCATGGGGGTGCGAGTGAGTGAGATCTTCCAGATTCCATGGCGAGACTGAAGCCTTTTCCCAAGATTTCCACACTCTGTCTCTCTTCTCCGAGATGCAATGCTTCATGGAATGCAACATGGCTGCGAGGTAGTATTTCCCAAAATCTCGTACAGCAAGTCCTTCCTCACTCCTTGTCTTGGTAACGGGGTGCCAACTTATTCTCCCGGCTTTGAAATTCCTGTTGTTCAACCTCCATGTGTTCAAAAAGTTCCAGTTTCCCAATCACTGCCTGTATCAGGTCTTCTTCTATGTGCAACATTTTTCTTTCTTCTACATTGGTCACTCTTTTGGTCCAGTTTAGATGTAGTATCTTGTAGCAAAACATTAACTCTGTCAGTCTTTTTAATGCCCAAGTCTCATATCAATATAAAGCTGTACTAAATACGTATGTTCTTAAGATGTTCAGTTTGGTCTTGTAGCTGATTTGCTTTCTTTTCCAGACATTATTGAATCCTGCCATTACTCCTTTTGCCTTTGAAATCCTCGCTCTTAAGCTTTTAGTGCAGTTGTTGTCGCATGTCAGTAGACTTCCCAAGTATATAAATTCCTTTACGTTCACAATCTTGCTGCTTTCTATTATTTTTTCTCAATGTCCTCCCTTCAGAACACTATTGAAACAATACTCGACACTTTTTATTTGACTGTCGGGTGGCCTGGCTCTCACGCGGCCGAGTGTACGTGTGGTGACGTCACATCCAACCGTCTATCCCTCACAAATACGGGGGAGGTAAGGCGGGGAGAGAATGAAAGGGCATAAAACGGAGAGGGGATAGCACAACGGAAAGAGGAGAGCAATGGAAAGCAACGAGCTGTGGAAGGATTACGGATAGGCAAG